GATATTAAGAAAGCATTATATCCACAAAGACCACACACACACACACACACGCGCGCGCGCACGCACGCATACTTATACTACCTTCTCCTCTATTGAACTCTAAATTCGAATAGGAGATACATTATATTTAGGAGATACTTTTAGGAAACAAAATATACATTTAAAAAAAATTGACTTCTTAAAGAAACTTTAGTCAACTTTAATGAACCCTTACCCTACAATTTGGTGTCTGATCCATACTAATGGGGATACTAGAATCCATCCATTTTTATCACCTATTCAAAATAATTGTCAACATGTTTGAATATACAAAGTTCTACTGTATATAATGATTAGTCAATACACTACTCGTTCTTTTTGCTTAGATACGCTTCAACAATGTTCACGTACCAACTGCTATATTTGAATACACCAAACAAGATAACGAGTCTTTTTCGTGGTTTTATTTTAAGTACCGTGATCAGTTTACTGCAATCTCACGAACAACCACCGCCAAATTGGTATCACAGACTTTACGGTAACAATATGAACGTATTAAAATTGATCAATACAATTAATCTGGTGAGTAACAAAACATTAAATTTCTTGGAGCAAAGTCAACATTTTCGAAGTCAAGAAGTATCGGATATGACACCACAATACAATGAGACATTCGATTTCATAGTAATTGGTGCCGGCACGGCCGGCGCTACAATAGCGGCAAGGCTAAGCGAAATTCCTGAAGTCAAAATATTGCTGATTGAAGCTGGATTTCACGAAAGCTTTTTCATGGACATTCCTATGATCGCACCAATCCTATCTTTGGACAGTAACATCAATTGGAAGTACAAAACTAGGCCTTCCAACAAATACTGTCTTGGTATGAAAGATAACAGTTGCACTTACCCAGCGGGAAAAGTAATCGGCGGCAGTAGCGTGCTGAATTACATGATAGCTACTAGAGGCAATGCTGAAGATTATAATCGTTGGGCCGAGATGGGAAACGAGGGCTGGGCATACAAGGACGTTCTCAAATATTTTAAAAAGCTGGAAACAATGGATATTCCGGAGCTGAAGTCGGATATTGACTATCATGGTACTAATGGACCAGTACATATCAATTATTCGCCATCTAATCCGTTGGCAGAGGCTTTTGTAGAAGCTGGCAAGGAACTAGGATATTCATTAATAGATTACAACGGAAAAAATCAAATAGGATTCTCATATCCACAATACACAATCATGAACGGTACTCGTATGAGTAGCAATAGGGCGTACTTGCACCCAATACGCGATCGCAAGAATCTTCATACAACTCTTGAAAGCACAGTTACAAAAGTGCTGATCGATTCTAGCATAAATCGTTCAGTCGGCGTGGAGTTTACTAAAAAAGATCAAACTATCCGTGTGTTTGCAAGTAAAGAGGTTATTCTGTGTGCAGGTGCGATCAAGTCGCCTCAATTGTTGATGTTATCAGGCATTGGACCAGCAAAACATCTTACCGAACTCGGCATAGACGTCATCCGAAACGCACCAGTCGGTAAAAACCTAATGGACCATGCAGCTTTCTATGGATTAACATGGACATCAAATGCATCAATGAATTCACAATTTTTCGAATTATTCAATTTTATGAATCCACATGTAACGGATCGTCTTATACCGTTAACAAGTAGACCCGGAGGCATTGGTTTTATCAACACAAAACAATCAGAAAAACGTAATGTACCAGATATCGAATTAGTATTTGCTAGTGGTCCACTGGTAGAAGATTTAATTCTTGCAAGATTATTAAATTATAAAGACCCATTACGTCAAGAATGGAAATATAGTGACGGGCATGACTGGTTCCTTGGACCAATATTATTAAAACCAAAAAGCCGTGGTCAGATAATGTTATTAGCTAATGACATTAATGTTAAGCCAGATATTGTACCAAATTATTTCGATAATCCTGATGACGTCAAAACTATGATCGCAGGTATTAGAACTGCATTAAGTATTGGTCGTACAAAGGCGATGCAGGCATTTGATTCTAAGTTGTCAAATATTACTTATATTGAATGCAATGACTATGAATATGACTCTGATGCTTATTGGGAATGCACGTCAAAGATCGTGACTTCCACGCTTTTTCATTATGCTGGAACTTGCAAAATGGGAGCAAAAGAAGATCCAACTGCTGTCGTCGATCCTAAATTAAAGGTATTTGTTATGAAACACACTAGAGCATTTACGCGTAATATTATATATAATATAATAATAAGAGTTGTGATGTGAAAGTATTTATGAGTTTATATACAACGTTTTGCAGGTGATTGGTATTCAAGGATTACGAGTGGCAGATGCGTCTATTATGCCCGAAATTATATCGGGGCACTTAAGTATACCTGTTTATATGATCGCTGAAAAAGCTGCGGATATGATCAAAGAAGAATGGGGATATTTGAAGAAATGACGCTAGATATCTTTTGCAAAGTCATTGCATTTTGCAGTTCCTATTTTCACGTTATTTAGACTCAGTCCCACCAATGTAAAATTAATTTTAATCTCGATTCAACTAAGAATTAGAAAAAAATAAACAGTATGACTGAAACTGAAATTAAAGGCTGGTATTCATAATGGATTCTTACATTTAAGATCGTCTTAAATGTAGTTTTAAAATGTCATAAGCCAATCATAAAACAGTATCATCTTAAGATATTACTTAAAATGGTCTTAAAATAAGAACGGACTATGAATTTCGGTCAAAGTTAATCTTACAT